TATATATATATATTGTCACAGCCCCTCGTTTGTTGTCCTCTTCTCCCTCTCTGCCTACGGTTTACCGGGCAGTTCTATTTGACGATATATATATCCCCTGTCAACCTGGGATCGGCTTTGTGTCACATCGGCGTCGGATTGAGGAGAGGAAGATCGGTACTTGGTATTCCTTTCCTTCGTTGCCGAACGACTGACAGAAGGCGGCGGGCTCAGTCTGGCTCGTTGACTTAGTCTGCCTCTTCTGCTCTTCGTTGGGTTCTACCTTCCCCTCCCTCCCTCCCTATCTCTTCCCCCTCAAGATATCATTGCGTTCTGCGCATGCGACTTGCTTTGTCGTCCGATCAAAGTAGATGGGGGCATCTTGGCGGTAGGAAGCTGCCTGGCGTAGCCTAGACAAGAGCGTGTGCTTTGTTGATGGATCGTAGGGAGGGAGGTAAATGTGAGAGGTATCAGTGGGAGCGGATGCAAAGGGGAAAAAGCGGAGGAAGAGACGTGCAGAAGACACGACCGGGTGGCCTTAAGGGCCCCTAACGACGAAAGGTTGCGCCCGCGGCGAGGGAAGCGAAGGGAGGAAGAAGAGACGAAAGGTTGCGCTCGCGGCGAGGCAGATGCAGCGGGAACAAGGGGAAGACGAGGGAAGTAGAGGGTCTTAAGAGGAGTCGGTGAGAGGGGGGCGGACGAGGGAAATAGAGGCTTAATAAGAGGCACGAAGCAGCCAAACTGCAGAATATAAGAGGACGAGGAGAGTCACGGCAGGGAAGGGCGAGAGAGAGAGAGAGAGAGAGAGAGAGAGAGAGAGAGAGAGAGAGAGAGAGAGAGAGAGAGAGAGAGAGAGAAAGGGGGGGGGGAAAAGGAAGAACTGGAGCAAGAGGGGAGAGGAAGGGGGGGGGGGGTAGAAGAGGGGGAGAGTCCGGAAGAGGAAAGAAGAGCAGAGGGAGAGTCTGGAAGAGGAAAGAACAGAAGGGAGAAGGTTGAAGATAGCATTAGAGAAGGAGAGGCTTGGGAGGGGAGGGGGAGGGGAGGGGGGAGGAGTGGTGATGATTGTTTGCTTGATTGAAAGGTAGAGAAGAGGAAGAAAGTGAAAAATTCCTAAAGAGGAAAGGGAAAGAGGAAGGTGAGTGGAGTTACAAGGCGAAGACGGCGGAGGTGGAAGATACCGAAATAGGAAAGGGAGAGGGAAGGGAGATGGAGAAGCTACGAGTCAATGCGCGCCGGGAAAGCTGCTGGCCCATCCCGAAGCCAGCAGCAGCAGCAGCAGCAGCAGCATTAACAGTGTCCAATCAGGAGAGAGCAAACGAAAAGCGGAATTTTGATTTGATGGGACTTCTGCCCGACTCGGTCATACTGGATATACTGGGCGCCATTAAGGATGCGAAATCGGTTGTGCGGTGCTCCGTCCTCTCGAAGAGGTTTCATTCGCTCGTGCGGCAGGCAAGTGCGCCCATTTCTCTTTTTTTTTTTTTTTTTTTTTTT